AACAAAGCTGCAGAGCGGCAGGCACACAGCAGCGGCGCATGCAGACCAAGAAACTGCTTGATATCAACACTTTCGGGTTTCATGTCTTTTCTGACCATCCCTTTGCAGAACCGACGTCAACCCTATCTCAGTTCTCATTGCTATATGCAAGTGATTCTTCGAAGGGCTCTCGGTGAGGAAGGGTCGGCTAACCATTAGTTGGGAATGGGGGAATGCATCCCTGTCGTAGTCCTTACATGATGGCCATGGCAATCCCTCTGTTCCGTTCCCAGCTGAGCATGAGAAAGTTTTTCGGCACCAAAGCCACCGAAATTGCACTCGGACCGTGAAAGAGGCGTGTCCTGGGCGCACCTAGGTATAGTCTCAATGACGTTGCGCAGCAACCTTTTTGCACATCCCTCCATCTCAGAGGACGAAAACACAAAGCGGATGGCTCCTAACAATAACGCCATGCCGTTATGAACCCATACATCTAAGCATTTTGATCCCTGCGCGCACTGTCGGGACTGAAAAGCCATGCACTGGCAGGGCAGGTTCGGCTCTCATATCCAGAAGGGCTCGTTGGAGGTTTCAATAGAAAATAAAAATGGAATTACAAAAGAACGCGTATGTGGTTCTGAAGGTCAAGAGTCCCGAGAGGACCTCCGCATGTCTTGAACCAATTGAGATGCCAGCGCCTGCGCGAGGTTTCCTCTCATTCCAATCTCTCGCCCTAAAGTCTGTTGAGAAGGACCGATTCCGCCTTGTACCTTAGGCAGAGATGGGTGCGCCTGCCTGTGGCAGTGCTGAAGCTTTTTTCAAAGTGGAAACTACTTCTCTCTCCCAGCCGCCTGGACGTCGTGACAAGTCTTGTTTGTAAATGCAGTTTGGCGCTCCAGCCCTGTGTTGATTTGAAGTTCGGACGTTGCAAGCTGTTTTCAGTCTCCTTTGTGCATGACTCGTCTCTCGGCGATAGGTTCCCATGCCTTCAGCTTTGCATGCATCAGTGTGTGTCAAGTAACTGCTTGAGTGCATCTTTCCTGCCATACTGTGCACGGGGACGGGCAACGGTTCATGAGATAAGCATTCTGCCATTGCCTGGCTACGCAGGTCTCAGTCTCAGGTCCCAATGCATTTTTCGCCTCGCCGCGCCAGTGCCACCATGCAAACCTTGGCACTGAGGGCTCTCACGGACGACTGCTGCTTAACCTGCTTGGGGCAGCCTGCTGACGCCGCGGCGAAGAGGGATGTTCCCATCCTTCGTGTGGCACTCTGGCAGCAAGTGTTCTGA